ATGCCGTCGAGCTTTTGGATGCGTAAAGCGTATAAACTACATCCGGCGCAAGCTGTGCAGCCAATCATGCTGTCCCTGTCACGCACACACAGACAGACGCGCAGCCACACAAACACACATGCATAAGCATTCGCCTTAAAGGCTTTAAAAGCAATTTGTGGCACAGTCGAAAAACTAGAAGAGAGAATTATATATAAAATATGTATTAAAAAATATTAAATAATATATACAAAATGTTTAAATGTATATATAAATATATCAAACCAGCTTTGCATAATTTTTAATTTTTTTATTTATTTATGTATATATGTATATATTTTTATCTATTTATTTTTCATATCTATTTTTATACCCTGAACCCATTTTCAATGGGAAATCAGGGTATAATGGTTTTGTTGAAATGTATGTAACAAGGAGAAGGAGGCGTGGCAGACCCCACAAAGTATATATATTCTTGATCAGGGTGACGAGCTGAGTTGATTTGGCCCTGTCCGTCTGTCTGTCCGTCTGTCCGTCTGTCCGTCTGTCCGTCTGTCCGTATGTATGAACGCGTCGATTTCAGAAGATATAAGAGCTAGAGACTTCAAATTTTTTTTAAAATGTCCGTAATTACAGCGCGCATATCAAGTTTATCATTAAAAATCGATAACTCATCTCGATCTTTTTTTATCGATAAAAAACCTTATCGAAACCCAGTTATAAAATTATATCTTCTACACCTTTATTGCTAGAGACTCCAAATTTTTAATGTATGCCTATATGCAATTTATACAATTTCGGTTTTTGTTAAAATTTACCCCCCACCTCTAAATTCTCCCCCTCACCCTCACTTTTGTAAAAAGCGTATTTCAAATACTAGAGACTTGTGCTTTGGCAATTACATGCATATTCATATTATAATCATAATCTAAAAGTTTCATGAAGATCGTACGTCCACAAAAAAGTTATTAAACAATTAAGTTCTCATAGTAAGCGCACACTGCAGCCCATGCGTGTTTATGCGTGGTTGCTTGTGTGTGTATGTGTTTGTGTATGTGTGTGTGTATGTGTGTGTGTATGCGTTTGTGTATGTATGCGTGTGTGTGTGTATGTGTGTCTGTATGCGTGTGTGTGTATGTATGCCTGTGTTTGCGTACGTGTGTGTGTGTGTGCGTGTTTCTTGTGTAAGCTGAAAGTCGCGAAAAAGTATTGAAATATCTATTGCTCCAAGGGTTCAGGGGATCTCGTAGTCGAGCAGTCTCGACTAGAGCTTTCTTACTTGTTATTTTTATTTTTTTTTATACCCTGAACCCATTTTCAATGGGAAATCAGGGTATAATGGTTTTGTTGAAATGTATGTAACAGGCAGAAGGAGGCGTGGCAGACCCCACAAAGTATATATATTCTTGATCAGGGCGACGAGCTGAGTTGATTTGGCCCTGTCCGTCTGTCTGTCCGTCTGTCCGTCTGTCCGTCTGTCCGTATGTATGAACGCGTCGATTTCAGAAGATATAAGAGCTAGAGACTTCAAATTTTTTTTTAAATGTTCGTAATTACAGCGCGCATATCAAGTTTATCATTAAAAATCGATAACTCATCCCGATCTTTTTTTATCGATAAAAAACCTTATCGAAAACCAGTTATAAAATTATATCTTCTACACCTTTATTGCTAGAGTCTCCAAATTTTTAATGTATGCCTATAAGCAATTTATACAATTTCGGTTTTTGTTAAAATTTACCCCCCACCCTTAAATTCACCCCCTCACCCTCACTTTTGTAAAAAGCGTATTTCAAATACTAGAGACTTTTGTTTTGGCAATTACATGCATATCCATGTTATAATCATAATCTGAAAGTTTCATGAAGATCGTACGTCCACAAAAAAAGTTATTAAGCAATTAAGTTCTCATAGTAAGCGCTCACTGCCGCCCATGCGTGTTTATGCTTGTGTGTGTATATGTATGTAATTGTTTGTGTATGTGGGTGTGTGTGTGTGTGTGTGTGTGTGTGTGTGTGTGTGTGTGTGTATGTATGTGTGTGTATGTATGCCTGTGTGTGCGTGCGTGTGTGTGTGTGTGTGTGCGTGTTTCTTGTGTGAAGCTGAAAGACGCGAAAAATTATTGAAATAGCTATTACTCCAAGGGTTCAGGGGATCTCGTAGTCGAGTAGTCTCGACTAGAGCTTTCTTACTTGTTTTTATATGCATTTTTTTTTTTTTTTTATTTTTTCCTTTTGGTGTTTTTGCCGTGCTCGTCATTTATAGTTTGGCGCGTGCGAATTGAATCAAAAGTCAAAGCGAGCAGGATGCGCCAGGATATGCTCGATGCGTGTGCCTATGCGTGTGTGTGTGCGTGTGCGTGTGTACTGACCCACATAAAGGAAAACACCAGCAAATAACTGCGAGCGAGCGAGCGAGCGACGCGCACAAAAAGACTCATCAAAAACTCATAAATTTGCAATTTTCGACACATGACAAAATAAATTGTAAACAAAGCTGCGCTAAAGCATGAGCAACACCAATACCAACACACACACAGGCACACACACACACACACACACGCACACAACAAACAACAGCAAGAGCATGAATAACAAACATAAAAAACAAAGGATGCTCCCAGCATACAGGGCGTATGAAAAATATACAATTTTGCACTTTTTGAATTGTTGCCGTGCGCAGTCGAGTCGATGAAGCCAAAAGTTCATAATCAACCAACTGATGGCAGGCACGAGAAAGCCAAAGCTGATTAATTGGAACTGGAACTGAAACTGGAACTGGAACCAGTAGCTGCAGCTCCAGCTGAGCCACTGATGACAACTAATGCCAACCAAAAGCCCCCAAATAGTTCCGAATTTCTTTCGAAATTGTAGTTGGAGCTGAAGCTGAGCAGAGATTGACAGCTGGAACTGGAGTTGAAGTTTGAGTTGGAACTGGAGCTGCAACTAATGGCATTACTTTAAGAACTAACAAACGCTTCAAATGTTTTGGTAAGCCCTTGAATGTGTTGGTAAGGGAAGCTGCAGAGGCTGAGATTGAGATCTTGAAGTCGAATCCGAACTGAAATCGGAACTAGATCTGTAGCTGGAACTTTGAGAAAAATCGATTTAGAAATTCACGTTTTATTTCCCCTCAGTAGAGGCTCATATTTGAATTTAATTTTAGCTAGTTTCTCTAGTAAATCAAGCTGAACTTTCCACTAACTAACAAATTCGTTTAGCTGCCTTGCCTTAAATTAACAGACTTATCCCATATATAGAGTGTGCCTAACCCTTTCTCTTTCTATATCTCTAGTTCGTTGTCTATCTTTCTCCCGCTCAAACTCAATAATTTCTCTCTCTCTCTCTCTCTCGCTCACTTGCTCGCTTTCGCCCTCTAACTCTCTCTGTTGTTATCTTCCTCTCCCTCTTGCTTTCAATGTCTGACTCAATTTCTCACTCTTTTTCTCTATCTTTGTCTACCTGTCTCTGCATCTGTCGGCACCACACTCTCTCCTCTCTCCTCCTCTCTTCTCTCCTCTCTCTCTCCCTCTCTCTCTCTCTCTCTCTCTCGACCAGACTCTCTCTCTCTTTATATATATATGAGTCTCACTCTCTTTTCCTCACGCTCACTCTTCCTCTCTCTCTCGATCTTACTGTCTCTATCTATCTATCTCTCTCTATCTTTCACTTTTCATCGATCTTTGTTTCCCTCTATAAAAGAAATATAAAGAGCTATAGAACATATATCGCTGATTCACTCACAGAGAATTCTAGCTCCCTCCCTCCCTCTAGCAGTCCTCCTCTCTGTTCCCCTTTCCCTCTCTCCCGCCCGATGATTCTCTTTAGATTGCCTCACTAATTCCTCTTAAATTGAATGCCATTTTTTTGTCACAGACTCAGCTTGAATATCGGCTTTCAGTTAGCTTGAATCATGATCGGCTTTACGAGGGATTTTTTGTGCGTTTTTTCATCATGTTTGCTCCGACTGAGTCACGTATATATGTACATATATATAGCTCGAGTGCAACTTATATGCGAGTATATATAGTATTTATCCGCATATCGAGCAAGATTTTCTTTCAATCAAATTCAACGTCGCTTCGTTCGGTTCGACTCCGTTGCTGATAAATCAAAGTTCACATTGAGGAAATCAAGCGCTGTAGTTCGACTGTGTGATACCCTGTACAATGAATATCAACTCACGAAATACCTCGTAAAAAAGGCGAGCACAATGTATTAAATAATGCACAAATATGCACTTCATATGCCATTACAGGGTATCTTGGTCATCCATATTGAATGCTTTGTTTAATTTGTATGAATTTTGCATTCTTGTGGTTTCACTGAACGACACGCAGTTAGTTAATAACATCTAGCCCTACGGCGTTTTGCCTTTAAGCCCGTGGAATGTATACGTATCATATACATATGTACGTGTGTATGTATGTATGCAAATATTTATATTGTATATAAGCAAATTCAGTGTTTTTTTTTTTTTTTTTTTTCTTCGTCCATTTTATCCATTAAGCAACAATGAATATCATTTATAAAGCACACATGCATTTGCACTATAAATAAGTTATATATAAGCATATATACGTATGCACGTGTGTGTGTGTGTGTGTGTGTGTGTGTGTGTGTCTTTGCATATATTATCACTCGATATCAATTTGCTCCTCACTCTGTTCCATTGTCGTAATTGGAATGCATTGAATTCTGAATTGAGAACTGTGACCCACGGACGGTTGCGTCGTGCGCTTTTTGCTGGCGATTCGAGAACGAGAATGAGAAGTATACAAATTTGCAGTCGACGCCAGCGTCGTCGTCGTCGTCGTCGTCGTCGTCAAGCTTATAAGCGTTTTGCAACCGCAAGCACAACAGCGAGAACAACAACAACAACAGCAGCAGCAGCAGCAGCAACAAAAAAGCAATAGGAAAAAGTTCAACTAATTAGCGCAAGTGACTTTTGGATCCGTTGCCGTTGACGTTGACGTCGCTACCTTCAATTGAACGGTGTTGTTGTTGTTGCTGTTGAATAGCATAAAAAAAAAGGTTGTACTTGTAAAAACAACAAAAAATACGCGAATAAAAGTGGCAATTAACACATTTTTCATAGAGCGTCGCAACCGGTTCAATTTCCAGAATAGACGCCGAAAAGTGCAGAGAGACGCAGAGACAGGCAGCCAGACGGACAGACTGACTTACACATAATACATAACTTTATCTGTGCTACATACACGTACACACACACACACACTTTGTGCTTTGTGCTAATCTTTAAATTGAAAGAAATCTCAGTGGCAGCTTCTGACGCGGTGGAGCTAGCGCTATGTGGAATTTATTTTGCTGCCGGCGCTTTTAGTTAGCAGGCGACGTGCGGCGTGAAGAGATCTCAATTATCAAATATTTATATACAAACAAAAATTAAAAAAAAAAAAAAAAAAATCTATACATTGTTAAAAAAAAAATAAAACTTGTTGCAATTAATGAAAGCTATAAATATTATTATGCACTCTCGCTCTCTCTGCCTTCTCTCTCACTAATACTCCATCAGCTTGGTAAAGAAGGTCGTGCAACAGTCGATGACAAAATAAAGTGCAAGATTCAAAGCGTCTTCGAAATACAAATACAATTGCAAACATAACGGCAAATGTAGTGCTGAAAGTGCGATAAGGTAGCACTTAATCACACACACACACACACACACACACACACACACACAGATACAAACAGGAATACTCACACACTCCCACCACACGGCATACACAAGGGCATTGCCGATAAGCACCGTTACTTATCAACTTTGGTATCGCACTCTCGCGCTCGTTTACTTGCTCACTCTCACTCTCTCGCTCTCGCTCTCACAGTTGCGGTTATTGTGCGCGTTACTCTCACGCGTAACTGTTCACTGGGCAGCAGAAGCCTACGCACAGTTAGAGCACAGCTGTTGCCGTCGGCCAAGTGTCCCAGAGCATTGAAGAAGCAGCAGCAACAACAGCAGCAGCAAGCAGAAGAAGAAGAAGCCGAACAACAACAATAACAACAGCGCGCACAAAGCTCGACGCGCAGTTTGCATTGTCGATTATGCAAAGCAACAACAACAACTGCCGCTCATCTACATGCATACATACATATGTATACAAAATACAACTGCAATATACATATACATTTTTATCCTACTGCATGTGCAAAGCAATTAAAACAAGTGCTCTGAAACAATAACAAAAACAAAAAGAAATATATACATACATACCTATCTATATATACATATATAAATGTATCGCGTCGCTGCTTACAAAATCAACGCTAAACACTAACAACAACATCAACAACAACAGCAAACTTTGCAGCACCTACACTCACACACACAAGCACACAAACACAGCCACAATGACCAGAGATAGGCTGCCAGACCTTTTACAGGTGAGTCGCTGTGTAAATTGTTATTTTTTATGTATATTTTTTTTTAAGTTATTAGCGCCAATGTTTTTCTGATTCTTTTTTTTTTCTGTGAGAGAGCAAGCTCAGTTGTTTATTGAGCAAATACAGTGTGCCAAAATGCAAAATAATGAGAGTTTTGCTCAGAAGAATAGAGTGTTGCATAAGTGCTTCATAAATAACATCCTGTGGCGCCCATTGTTAGGCAGTACTTTCGCATAGAGTGCAAAGCAAATAAAAACTAAATTGATGCATATAAAATAGAAAACTCGTGTTTCGTCTAGCTGCATTTTGAAATAGTATTCAGTTTACTTTTTTTTGTTCTTTTTTTTTTTTTTGCCGGCATTGCCAAGCACTACGCAACATTCCACAGCCGGCATTAGCACTATCTTGTCATGTACTGTGTTGGGGGTGGGGGGAGATGGCGCGGTGCGTGTTGTCATTGTTGAGCTCGGGCCGTTATTATCAGATCGTCCACAGATAAGAGCGATAAAGTAGCCCTCATGTGAGGGCCATTCCCCCACATCCATTGCCGTTCCAATTTCCAATTTGGCTGGCCAACTTTTATTATGCACAACGCTGCCAGATTGTGCATTTCGCGCCCATCGTGCCCAGCCCCCTCCGAGCAGCGAGAGCAGCGCAGATCGTTAGCGACAAAGAAAACAGCAACAACCTAAGAAGAAGATGAAGAGAAAAAGCCGTCTAATTTAGGCACGAAGTTTTAGTTAGAGTCGCGCCGGCATCGCTGCAGCAGCGATGCTCGAAAATCAATTTTGTTTGTTTTTTTTTTTTTTTTTCATTCATCTGTGAAGCTCGGGCTGTGCTAACTGTCTAAGCATTTTGTTAACTATTTTGCAGCGCTCGCTGAGCGCCAACTCAACGTCTTCATCATCGAACGGCTCGCTTTTGCTTAGCGCTTACAACGCTACCACCGAGTCCTTAACCAACAGCAACAGCAACAACAACAACACCCATAGCGGCAGCAGCAGCGGCGTAGACAACAACAAGGATCGCAGCAAAATGTCGGGAACGAATGTGGATGCTATTCTGACTCCAGTAAGTATGTGTGAGTTGGTGTGTGAGAGTGCGTATGTTTCGATGCGTGTGAGCGAGAGGGAACTGTTTGTGTATCGTAAAATGTCGCAGCAGGTAACGAATGTGGATGCTATCCTGAAGTCTGTGACTGTGTGTGTGTATGGTTTTGTGCGTGTGAGAGAGCTCTGAGTGTAGCGAAACTAGAGATGAGCGTGCGTATCGTATAATGAGACATAATTATGCTCCGAATCATGAATGAATTTTGTATAAAATGCCAACTATAAATACACAATCTCAACAAGCTGCAGACTCAGATAAGATTAGCATGAAATATGTGTAAGCTGTGAGAAAAAATGAAATCACTACTCTTTCTTCTACATTTTCTTTGTGGCTCACGGTGCTATGTCTAATATTTAATTGCGTGCGTTACACACCAAATGGAACCTGAGCTGTTTTCTTTTTGTAATCGGCACGCTGTCATCGCCAAGCAGGCCCATTGGATTCTATAACTGTTGTTTATCACACAACTTTTGATGGCCACGCGAATGAATCAGCCAGCGAGCAAGCGCCTCCACATCAGAAATGAATTACTCAATCGAACCGCGTGATAACCGAATGCTGGCTTATAGCGGCATCTAATTAATAAAGTACATACACATATACCAACAGATATACAAATGTATATGTGTGTATATGCATACAGTGTATGTCAATACCAGTTAAAATTATTATTATTATTATTATTACTATTATGTATGTACATGCATATGTACAGAAATATCGCTTATTCTTTAAAGGGTTTAATGAACTTTTTGTTACAGAATCTTGAATAACGTAACGAATTACCGTTGAACTACATACATATGTAAATTCCAATGAATTTTAAAAATTGTTCGTTTATCGCAAGCCGGCTTGCAAAATAGTGAGTCAATCTTGGTCAACTATAAATAAATAATCACTGTTTAGCTGTGTATATTCCCATCTTATTCTTCCACTTTACTAAAGGCAACTTAAGATCATAAAATTTATATATAAATAATCACTGTTAAGCTATATTCTTATCAAGTTTCAATTTTCTTCCACTTTTCTCAAGACAATATGCGGTTCAGTGGCAAACATATGTATGTATGTGTGTGTGTGATAGAGAGAGAGAGAGAGAGAGAGAGAGAGAGAGAAAAGATAGTTTTGAGAGTGAGAGCACTTGACTGTTATTTAAATATATAACTGTATATTTATTACAAAAACACATATTGCTCACACGTTTACCAACACTACTTGCAGTATTCGGAAATACGGTATCAACTGTCGCAAATCGTGACCAATCTGGAGGCCATGGAACGCATGTCGCAGACGATACACTTGCGCACCTTCAGCGGTAGGTACAGTGAATACACATTAGCGTTAACCCCAGAGACATTCATATATACGAAATTCATGTATTTATACCACAGAGAACGAAATGGATGAGCTGCACAACAAGAATCTGCGATTGGGCAATCAGCTGATGAGTCGATTCAGGGAATTCAAAACGAATCTGCCGCCCGAGACAGACTACTGTCTGGAGGCGCGCATGAAGCGCACCCTCTTCTATGGCCTCTACCAGACGTTCATCAATCTGTGGCAGAAGAACGAAGAGTTCCTGCAGAACTATGAGATGAAGGTCAAGAAGAATCTGCGCATGCATTCCAAGATCAGTAAGTAATCAAGCGATCGCAACTCGATTCCCATTAATCCCACTCTGTTTAGTCAATTCGGAGGCCACAGATCAGGAGATTGAGCTGCTGATCGAGAACAAGACAACGAAGCTCTTTGTGGACAATGTGAGTTCGATAATGATTAACAAAAAAAAGCAACAACAACAAAAATGAAAAACCTATTGAATTGTTTTAGATACTGCAAGAGACAGATAAGGAGCGGCAGACGCTACGCGATCTGATGGATCGATTCAATGAGCTGCGCAAGCTGGAGAAATCCATTGAGGATGTCCATGCGCTCTTCATGCGCATCCAAACGCTCGTCATGGAGCAGAGCGAGACGATACAGCGGGTGGAATTCCATGCGAATCAAGCGACCCTTTACACTGAGAAGGGCGGCACTGAGCTCGACAAGGCCAACGAGTACCGGGAGAAGGCGCGCAAGGTGTTTTAGTTGAAAATAAATTTCATAGCTTAGTATTTTCTTAATATCCATCTTTTTTTGCAGAAAAAAATAATGATCATTGCCATACTCGTTGCAGTTGGGTTAGTTTTAATATTTATCGGTATTTATTTGTGATGCACACAAGCGCAAAACAATTTATATATAATTATGTATAATATATACTTTTTTTCATATGCATAGGACAAATAAATTTAATTTTGCTAAGCAGATTTTGTTTTAATTAAGCGGCAGACTTTCAAATGCTAAACTCACCACACTTGGACAGGCGCGCCTACAGGGTTGCATTTGCTATCTCTAGAAATGTCTGCAAATGAAATGACATATTTTCTGTCAGCTGATTTTTGTTTATAAATAATAAACATTTACTTTAAATGGTTTGGCCAATATTAAACCAATATTAATTAAATCCAAAAATTGGAAGACTACTGAAAAGATAAGATGAAAGCAATAATTTTGATACACATACAAAAATGGCAGCTTTAAAATATTTTTACGACGCCCGTGCTGTTAAACGTTAACGTACGATGTTAAACGCAATCATCTGTTCCGTTACGAGACAATCCATTTTAAAAACGCAGAAGCGAAACTTTTTATACGACCGCAATTTGTGTTAACAGTAAGTAATAAAACCAAGATTTTAGGTCACCTCTATTACAGTATTGTTTATTTCTGTCTATTTAAAATTAAAAAGAAAAAAGAAAATAAGTGTATTATTTTTTAATTTAATTCTAAATGAATAGACTCAGCCCTAGATACGCTTAATGTTCAAAGATACCAAGCAAGCTGCAAAATTCAGGTAGACAAACGCAATATTTGACATGCCATTTCGCAAAAGCCTTGCAAATGAAAACAACAACAATGAATTTCCTAGGAAATTCATAGTTCCAGCTAATTGAATCAGCAATGTATATGCATAAATCTGTAACGTAAGCGCAGATTGAGTAACGTAACTGCAAACCTAACAGGGCTATGTTATGGATATGTTAACGGTCCAAATAGCCATTTAACATAACATAATACGCTGCTAAGAAATGCAAAACAATGAAGATAAATAGAAGCCAAGACGACAACAAATCCAACGTAAAATAATTAATTAACTCATTTGGGGTAAGTGCACAAGTGCATACATACAATATGCGGCTAGTGATCGAACAACAACAGCCAATCGAACGCAAACAGACAACAACAAAATCCAATCAAATTCTTGACCCATTGGCGAGCGCCATTTTTTCGCTGGCGTCGCACAAAGTTTGCCATTGATCTGCAAATTTCTGTGAATCTGCTGCAGATCTGTTATCTGTGCAGAGTGGGATATTTGCAGCATAATAACTGGAATTATTGCTACCATTCGTTATAGCCTGTTCGTTGCTTTGCCGTGGGCCGTGGGCCGCAATGGAGGACAACGGCAGCATGTGTAAAAGTGTGAAGTTTGCAGCCGAATCTGTTGTTCCCGAGACATCGACGGCAGCCAATGCAGCCAGCACATCCACCAGCAATGGCAAGGGTGTGCAGTTCAAGTTGGCAGCCGTGGCCGAGCCCGAGGAGCTGCTCGGCTCGGTGACGACACAAAATTGCCCGGGCACCCGAGCGAGCGCGCGCGTCATACAGAAGATGAAGTTGGATCTGACGCGTCCGATGACACCGCCGCCGGTGGAGCGTGAGCACAGCAAGAAGGAGGAGAAGGCCGCCCAGAAGACGCCATCGCAGCTGCGGGCGGCCAGCAAAACGACCTGGACAAATCTGGAACGCAACTGTTTCTTCGATGCGCTCAACGAGTTTGGCAAAGATTTCGAGGCGGTGGCCAATTGCATCAATGCCAAGCTGAAGCGTCGCAACTCCAGCAGCGACTATAGCTTCAAGACCAAGGACCAGGTGCGCCAGCATTACTATCAGACATATCACAAGATTGGCAAATATGTGCGCTTCACCGATGGTGAGTCCCTGTATATATCAATAATCCGCCTTCACCTAATTAAATCCTCCTCCTCTTATAAAGAGCTCAAGAAGCCCGCCCAGGAGCTCTACACGCTCATCAACTATGGCGAGATGAGGCGCAAGCTGCAGTTCCTCACGGAGAAGCACTTCATGAAGCTGAAGCAACTTATCTACCAGGGCCACATCACGGTGCGCAGCAAGGGCAAGAATATACGCATCAAGACGCCCTCGTGTAAGGCGCTGCGACGGCTTAATCAGCTGGACGGTAAGTTCATCCAGATGAACTGAAAGCCAATCCATATCAATTCATTTTCATATTCCCACCTCAGACACATTGGAGGACATTCGCCTGCCCAGCAAGATCGAAGTGCTGGTCAGTCCGGCGAACATGGACGCCTTTGGCCGTGTCCAGGCGCTCGCCCAGAATCCACGCGGGCGAGCCATTGTGCCGCTGCACAAGAAGCTCATCACGTTCATCAAGACGTTTCAGTACAAATGGCGCAGTCCGGACGCCCGCCTGGCGGAGCAGCATCTCCAATCGAGCAGCGCTACTGCCGCCACTACCAGCACCAGCACCAGCGCCCCCGCCGCTGCCGCTGCCACTGCCGGCAGCGCAGAGCCGGCCGAGACGTACACGGAGCCGACGGTCTGCTTTCTGCCCAAGCCAGGCGTGCCCATACACCGGCCGCTGCTCAGCATTACGGCGTACTTGAGCAGCGTCAACATCTGCCTGGGCGCCTACGAGGAGCGTCTGGGCGTCAAGGTGCGCAGCGAGACACTGGACAGCACCGCAGCTGCTGCAGCGGCAAGCGCCAAGCGGGCACGCACCGAGAGCGGCTCGGAGAAGCGTTCGCCAGAGACAAAGAAGCTGAAGCCGCAGTCCAGTCCGGCGCACGACAAGTCCATGGACGAGCTGGCCGAGGCGAGCAATCAGGTGAAGCTAGAGAGCAGCAGCGGCGACGAGCTGAGCGAGGAGATCAACGATTTGCTCACATCCACAAGCGCTGGCGGTACAGCTGAGTCAGCCGAGATAGCTGCTCCGCCGCCGCCCGCACCGCCAGCCCCAGCACCAGCTCCAGCTCCGGCTCCGGCTCCGTCACGAGCCAAACGCAGCGATGGCCCCGGCGCTGGCGGCGGCAAGGGCGCCAGGGCAGCGGCTGCAGCGCGCAACTTCAAGCCGCTGCTCAGCGACGACGTGATCAAGCGCATACGCCGCGGCTGGACGATAGCGAACTCGGCGGACATCACCATCGGGGATCTGTACGTGGTGCTGGGCCAGGACTCCAAGCTGGAGCTCGAGTATTACTGGTGTGAGCCGGAGGTGGGCACGTCGAGCAGCGCCACAGGCGTCAGCGCCTCGACGTCCACGTCCTCCTCGTCGTCAGCTTCGACATCGCTGCCCTACAATGCCAACGACTGTGATAGCGTGGAGCGCGTCAAGGCCATCAATACGGCGTCGGTGAGCAACAAGCTGAAGCATCTGCTGCTCGTCGCCAATCTCAGCGAGCGTGTGCGCAAGCGCCAGTGCAGCTGCGGCCACAGCTGCGATCGCAAGCGCGATCTCATCACGAAGGCACGCTGGATGAGCAATCTGGGCGGCTCTGGGCCCGGAGCGGCAGCGGGCGGTGCAGCTGCGGCAGCCAGCGCCAACTCTGGCGATGGCAATGAGGTTGTCTTTCGCACGCCCATGCTGCCAGTGCGTCGACCCATGGTCAACATCATTGATCCAGTGCGTCAGCTGAGCAAGGTGCGAATCACTTACAAACTGTTGGGAGAAATATATATTACAAATTTGCTTTACTTTTCCAGCTCTCGCGCCAGAAGCTCTCACGGCAGGTGCTGGTGCAGCGTTGCCTCCTGCCGCCCTCCTCGGTGGATCAGCCGTACGATGTGCTCAGTCTGCGGAATCTGCAGAACGGACTCTTCGAGCCCATCGACCGCGTCAGCAGCAGCAGCAACGCAAACGACAACGATGAGATCAACGCTGTGATATCCAAGCTGAATGCAATCAGCAGCAGCAACGCCAGGCAGCAGCGGGCAGAAGCCGAGGATCGCAACAGCAGCAGCAGCAGCAGCAGCGGCATGGGCAGCAGCATCAGCACCAACACCAACAGCAACAGCAACAGTACCAGCGGCAGCGGCGATGGCGACGCCAATAATAGCCATAACAACAACAACTACTACAACAGCATGGAATGCAGCGGCTCGGGCGTCAGCGGCCTGGACATGCCCAACTTGGACTTTTGCGCAGAGCCAACAGCACTGCCAGCCACAAGCACAACACTGCCCGAGGATGTGCAGGACGAAAGCACCTGTAAGCGGAACATATCGAATAGAATCCATGTGAACAAAGACTTAGATAATAGGTAGAGCGAACGAGAGGGAGAGAGAGAGAGAGAGCATGGCTCAGAGCTTAGATCAGGACAACTGATGTCCAGGGAGGATGAATACTCTGCTGATACCAGGCATTAACCCTAGAATAGGATGTACAAGACTAGAGCGACAGTAAGCGACTTAGAACAAAGCGTAAAGAGTTTAGAGAGTAACCAGGATCTAGGAATACTCTTCTCTTTTAATACCAGAGTCTATGTGATAAACTTAAAAGATACTTAGGGAATTTCTAATTAGTTAAAGGAAAAGAGGAAAGCGGAAAACGGAAGAGAGAGAATTCTACGGTAGCAATAACTTTTTTTTTTTGGCAACTTGAACTCACTTGTGTGTGCATTGGCATTTCAGTTCCAATCGTTCCTCGTGTCTTAAGCTTAGGCTATCCCTTTTTATTCTATACAAATATCTTAATGCTAATTCCTCTTCTTCTTCATCTTCTTTTTCTTCTTCTTGTTTAGCTCAAAGCTTCTTCAATGGCAGCGTCAGTCCGATGCATTTGCTGCGCGACTCCACGTCCAATGCACGCTGGCTGGAGGAGAATATCAATGACTTTTCGCTGACCAGTTTGCTGGGGCATCTGGATGATTTTGATGCCACGCGCGATATACTGGTGAGTGAATTCTAGTGAATCTAGTAGCAGTTCAATCTCTCAATCAAACCATCTTTCAGGATCCTTCGTCTACGATGTCGGTGATCAGTGAGAGCAGCGTGGATTATCGTCACAAGTTTCAGGAGATTTCGGCTTTGCTGCAGCAGCAGGAGAAGGATTAACACACTGGAAATTGGCCTCTAGATCTTCTAGGGATTAACACACATACATACACACACACACTCACACACACACACACACACTACGTTGGCGTTCTTGAATTTGATTTGTTTTCGTATTACTATCAATTAGAGCAAAGAATATGCTATTCCAAAACAGAAAAGGAAACTAATTCTAACACGGATATTATTAATGTTAATTTCAACATTTTCAATATGTATCTGTATACAGATGTATATTCACATATATATCTATATCTATATTTTAAACACATTACATTTATCTTCATTACTACACTAAGCCTTGTGATTTTGAAATTGTTCTTTTACGTTACGTTTAATACTAATATTAATACCACTTATATGATACTTGGAAACAAACATACACATGCTCGATATTTATTTCATACATATTAACTATACCTAAGTATTACAAGCACTCACATTGTCTTACGTTGTCCAACCCGAACTGAACGGGGTTTCGATTTCATAATTTTTTTTTTTTTTTTTTTTTTTTTTTTTTTTTTTTTTTTACTTTTTTGTGTTGGTTGTAGCTCTTAGATTAGCTTAGTTATTAGAAATTTAGTCGCGAATAAGTTGTATTGTAGTTGTAGTTGCGAAATCTTCATATAATCATAATAATAAATAACAGTTTACCCTGTGTATATACGCCCGAAGAAGAGAATTGCATTTTATTTCTATATTTGGGAAGTAAAAAATTACAAATATGAAACATACGAAAGCGTAAAATTGGAAATTAGCATAATGTAACAATAACATATGTATGTATGTATGTGTGTATATGTATATACGTATCTGTACAATAATGTAATGCGTACTTGGTACATTTTAGGCATACGCCACTGTTAGACATACGTCATTTCTGAATGAAAGACACACAACTACATATGCATATGCATATGCATATGCATATGTATGTATGTGTGTTTATTGCTACATTTCCAGCTAAGTTTGCTGATTCAAACGCTGGTTACCAATCGACGCCTCGCAAGATACCGATATGTGTACACACATATGCATGCGTATTTCTCTGTGTATGCATGTGAGTGCTTTTGTAGTGGCAGTGCAATGAACGAGAGCCCACTTCAAGAAAGCAAAAGTGTGAAATAGTTAAAGCGAGAGCGCCACAGAGAGACGTACTGAGAGAGAGCTGACGCTCGTGCAGTAAATAGTTCCGATAAGCAACGGCAGTTTGCTATGACAACAACAACAGTAAATAAGAGTCGCCCGATTTGTTGTTGTTGTTGTTGTTGTTGTTATTGTTGCTATTGGCTTTGCGCTGACTGACAAATCCAGTGTCTGTGTCTTAGCTTACCGCTACAAAGTGTTAATCATTATTTCATTTTTTTTTTGTTGCTGCTGCCGCTGCTTCTGTTGTTTTAATTTTTTTTCATTGCTGTGTTCTTAATACTGTAATTTTGTTTTCCAGCTTAGGCGTTTTATGATGCGCCAGTCGAGTCTGTCACATTAGTTGGCTGCCAGACGTGCCAGCGACAACCTCGAGCTCCAGCAACAACAGCAACAGGAACAACAATAACATGGCGGAGAGCAACAGTGTTAGTCTCATGGACTTGGTCCACCTTAAGGAAGTAAACTTATCAGTTGGCTGAATTTATTTTTTTTTTTTTTTTTTTTTTTACAGCCGCAGCACATCTTGACGATGAGCGGCGAGCAGCGGCAGCGGTTCTTGGAGTCGTTTGATTGGGTCTTCAGTGACATAGATGGCGTCATCTACAACCTGGAGTCGGATGTCCCGGATGCTGGCCTGGCCTATAACGCACTCGAGCGGGCCGGCAAGCGGCTGACCTTCGTGACCAACAACAGCGTGCGCACCCTGGAGCAGACGGCGCGACGCTTCGCCAAGTTGAAGATCCAAGTGGCGCCGGAGCAGATCTGGCATCCGGCCCAGACGCTGGTCTACTATCTGCGGAGCATCCAGTTCGAGGGGCTAATCTATATCATGGCCTCGTCACAGTTTAAGGCGGTGCTGCAGCAGGCAGGCTTCCAGTTGCTCGAAGGCGTAAGTAGCAGCCGCGGCGTCCTGCTCAAGTGCTAATCCCATCTGGATGCTTCACTGTTCTAGCCCAATCACTTTATCGAGGAAACCTATGAGGATCTGGCGCGCCACATATTCGACAAGCAGCCAGTGCGTGCTGTGGTCATCGATGTCGACTTCAATCTGACCTCAGCCAAGCTGATGCGTGCCCATCTGTACCTGCGTCATCCCGACTGCCTGCTGATTACCGGCGCCACAGATCGCCTGCTCCCAGTGGGCAAGGGTGTGAACATCATCGGGCCCGGCGCCTTTGCCTCCATTCTCGTGGAGGCCAGTGGCCAGCCGCCGATTGTGATGGGCAAGCCGGGTCGGCCGCTGGGCGACATGCTCCTCCAGCAGAACAAAATCACGGATCCACGACGCGTGCTCATGATCGGCGACATGCTCGCTCAGGATGTGCTCTTCGGCCGCCAGCTCGGCTTCCAGACGCTGCTCGTTCTAACCGGCGGCTGTTCGCTCCACCAGCTCCTGGCCGTAACGGATCCCGATCTGCTGCCGGACTACTATGCGGACAGCGTGGTGGATCTACTGCAATTACTGCCTGAGAGTACACCCAAGGCGCATGGCTGAGCCCAACCAAGATTTGAAGCTATTCAAATGCTTTTAGATATATATATATACATGCATATATCGTTTTAAGGGTTAAAGGTGACCTTGTCATATATACAGAAAATTTATTCCTAATTATTCCAAACCGGTTTCGCTTTAATTTAGTATATGTATTATATATAGTATGTGTTATATTTTTGATAAGACCATGCTCTTAATATAGATATTCTGTTTCACTTCATTATTTTGTCTCGGATTTGTCAAATTTTTCTGAAGTATCCCTTACCTTACTCGCTCATAACCATATACCACTTGCATTACTATACTATATGTATTTATATTATATTAGTGATAAGATATTCTTTTCAATATAATCTGATTCACTTCTGCTATTGTCTCCCATTCGGTTCGGTTTCGACTTGAAATGGGAATTTTATTGCTCCCTCTCCCACTCCTTCTCCATTTCTCTTTCTCTCTCTCCCTCTCTCTCATTATGTGCATTATGCATTACTAGGTAAACTATTGACTTTATTGCATCTGGAATTCTAGTGTCCATAGGCTTATCTAAGTTACAAATGATATATGATGGCTGTTTAGGGCTCTACGCTCCTCCTCCTGCTCTTCATTGCCTCGGTGGCCAGCTTAGTTAGCCTTATCGCACAGATCGCCCAGGCAATCGCCCACGTAGTCCGGCATGTGGGCATGGCCCGCGGGCAGGCTGTCCACGTCCGCCTGGCTGCTGCCGCCGGTGAGCACCAGCAGCGTCTGGTAGCCGCTGGCGCGCGCGAAACCAATGTCACTGGCCAGACTGTCGCCGACGAAGAGCACGCGGTTGGGCGGGATGTGGGCGTGATGCTGGCGCAGCAGCTGACGCAGTGCCTCGCCCGGTTTGCCCAGCACCGTTGGTTGCCGGCCCGTCGACTGGGCGACAATGTCGATGAATGGTCCGGGTCCTAGAGCGAAACGGAATCCTTTAGTTACCCTAGGCCTAGCCACTGCTAAACCATTGCCTACCGATGATGTCGCCATTGCCGAAGGGTATCAGCGCATCCGCAGCGCCGGCCAGAAACAAACAGCTGGGATTCTGCAGCTGGACGTGGGCACGCATCAGCTTGGTCGCCGTCAGATTGAAATCGACATCGATGATGACCGCATCCACGGGCTCGCCGCCAAAGATGGCCTCGCGCAGCTCGGCCAGAGTCTTGATGACGGAGCCCTCGCGCTGGTCGGATGAGAACGAGCTGAATCCCTGTCAAGCACTCCGAGGCAAGGCAACTCACCTCCTGGCTCAGCCGAAAGCCAGCATCGCGCAGCAGCTGCTTGAAGGGCGGCGTCGCCAAGCAATATATCATCCCGCCGAAGCCAATGTCCTTCAGATGGTCACAAACGGCCTGCGCTGGATGCACAATCTGTTCCTGTGGGCCAAGACTTATAGAATAATCCTCTAATACCTGATCTCTGGACATACCTTCGCTACATGCACCTGCGCCTGCTCGGCAAACTTGTGCAGATGCTCCGCCACGGAGCTGATGCTGTTGTTGGTCACAAAGGTCAGCCGCTTCCCGCGACGCTGCAGCTCCGCCAGGGCTTGGGCCGAGCCGGGTATAAAGTCTCGCAGCGTATACCAGACGACACCTGCAAGCAAGCCCGAAACATTAAAAGGCCCTCGCTCCTTTGGAAAACTACACTCTTGGACTGTAGACCTCTTAAGCCTGCAGACTCTTAGCTCTTTTGGTCCTTTAGAAAGGGTCTAAAGGGATATTTGAGCCATTCAACTCTTTACCCTTACACCCTTAAATGTTTGAACCTTTAGACTATATTACTTTTAAGCTTTTTAGTCATTGGACCTTAGACCTTCAGAGCTTTGGGCGTTTAGACCCTGAGACCTTAAGTGCGAATTTGCGAATTTTGAACCTTGTACCCTCTCAGATTCTTATACCTTTTAACTATTCGGCCTTATGAACTTTGGACCTTTAAACCCTTCGACCTTTAAATTCTTAGTTGCTTAGACTCTTACAACTTTGGACCTTCAGACCTTTGGGCCCTTAAGCGTTAAGGGCTGTAGTACATCCGATTACGAGAGCTTTGGCCCTTATAGACCTTTAGATCCTTAGACATTTTAACCTTTCGTCCTTCAACCATTAGATTCTTAGATCTATTGACATCTAGACCCTTAGATCTTTAGATCTTTTAAACTCTAGATCCTTAGGCCTTGGGTTCTTTAGATTCTTAGAACTGTTGAGCTGTTGACCCTTTCACCTTCAACTTTGGGCTTTTAGACTCTTTGAGCAGCAGTACGAACGTAGGCCCACAGAGCTAAACTCTTTGGCTTTTTCTTTTCCATAAAAGCCCTAAGCTAGACCCCGACTAAACAGATAAAGTCGACATCTAAAGAGCAGCAGAAACTAGACTACTTTAATGTATTTTGATGGGATAAATGGACTGATATAATATCAGATGGGGTTTACTCTCAAGGGACCAGAATCCCCGTTAGTTATTGAACAGCCCTAGCTGTCTACGCTTTGAACAAACCATCGCAATCACAGAAAACGACATCGAATGAATCGAAAAACTTTTCACGTTCCGCTGCGCTGAGCTGCTTGAAAACTTTGGGCTGTCAACGATAATGAAAGAATTGTGAATAAAGAAAGGGGATTAGTCGATTTGCCATGAATCGAAGTTCTCTATGAGTGACGCACGCTGTGGCAATTTGGCTGAGCTGAGCGCCAAGACGTCGCGCCGACTTGGCACAGGCGACGCAGCATCCTAACTACTTACCGAACTGCAGCTCATTTTACATTCAGGGAAAAAATCACCCAAAAAAGAGAAGACGATGAAAGATAAAAGCGGGTTAAAGTTGATCGAGATTTGTGAGATTATTTGTGCTTTTGTTATGCTCGCGGCGCGACTTATGCAAATTGCATTGAAGCGTTGCGTCTATGAAGAGACCAAAGCTCCAGTTACCCGCGACTCTGATGCTCGACTGACCAAAGACAATTGACGTAGCCGGATCGGATCGGCACGGAACGCGTTGACCAAGGGGGCTAGGCACCGCGTTCATTTCAATTTAGCTGCCAGCGATTTGATTAGCGGCACGCTCGATGATCTCGTCGAGTAAAGTGTTTGAGTGTGACAAGCTCTCGATATGCCTCAATTGTTTGCATCCACCAAAGACGCGGCTGCAATTGATTTGACACCATATAGAGGTATAGATATAGATATAGATATAGATATATGTAGATATAAATATAGATATAGATATAGATATAGATATAGATATAGATATAGATATAGATATAGATATAGATATAGATATAGATATAGATATAGATATAAATATAGATATAGATATAGATATAGATGTAGATATAGATGTAGATATAGATATAGATATAGATATATGTAGATATAAATATAGATATAGATATAGATATAGATATAGATATAGATATAGATATATGTAGATATAAATATAGATATAGATATAGATATAGATATAGATATAGATATAGATATAGATATAGATATAGATATAGATATAGATATAGATATAGATATAGATATAGATATAGATATAGATATAGATATAGATATAGATATAGATATAGATATAGATATAGATATAGATATAGATATAGATATAGATATAGATATAGATATAGATATAGATATAGATATAGATATAGATATAGATATAGATATAGATATATGTAGATATAAATATAGATATAGATATAGATATAGATATAGATATAGATATAGATATAGATATAGATATAGATATAGATATAGATATAGATATAGATATAGATATAGATATAGATATAGATATAGATATAGATATAGATATAGATATAGATATAGATATAGATATAGATATAGATATAGATATAGATATAGATATAGATATAGATATAGATATAGATATAGATATAGATATAGATATAGATATAGATATAGATATAGATATAGATATAGATATAGATATAGATATAGATATAGATATAGATATAGATATAGATATAGATATAGATATAGATATAGATATAGATATAGATATAGATATAGATATAGATAGATATAGATATAGATATAGATATAGATATAGATATAGATATAGATATAGATATAGATATAGATATAGATATAGATATAGATATAGATATAGATATAGATATAGATATAGATATAGATATAGATATAGATATAGATATAGATATAGATATAGATATAGATATAGATATAGATATAGATATAGATATAGATATAGATATAGATATAGATATAGATATAGATATAGATATAGATATAGATATAGATATAGATATAGATATAGATATAGATATAGATATAGATATAGATATAGATATAGATATAGATATAGATATAGATATAGATATAGATATAGATATAGATATAGATATAGATATAGATATAGATGTAGATATAGATATAGATATAGATATAGATATAGATATAGATATAGATATAGATATAGATATAGATATAGATATAGATCAGCGCAGCCCAAGCGCAGTCGCTGCTTACTGCGCAGTTTGCAGAGCGCGTTCTAATACGTGTGTATGTATGTGTGTCGAAAATTAGTGCAGACTGATTAGAATATCAGATTAGAGGGTTCAGGGTATCTCCTAGTCGAGCAGTCTCGACTAGAGTCTTCTTACTTATTTTTTTTGATACTACTATAATTTATTTCTGTTAGTTTTGTATTTTGTTAAACATTTCCAAGTCATTTTTATACCCTGAACCCGTTTTCAATGGGAAATCAGGGTATAATGGTTTTGTTAAATGTATGTAACAGGCAGACGGAGGCGTGGCAGACCCCATAAAGTGTATATATTCTTTATCAGGGCGACGAGCTGAGTCGATTTAGCTCTGTCCGTCCGTTCGTCTGTCCGTATGTTAGAATGCGTCGATCTCAGAAGATATAAGAGCTAGAGACTTGAATTTTTTGCTTTCAATATCGATAACTTGCCCCGTTATTTTGTTATCGATTAAAAACATTATCGAAAACCAGTAGTAAATTTTTATCTCCTACATCTTTAAAGCTAGAGTCTCCAAATTTTATATGTATACTTATATGCATTTTCTAAAATTTCAGTTTTTGTCAAAAATTTACCCCCCACCCCTAATTCACCCCTTCACCCTCACATTTGTAAAAGGCGTATTTCAAATACTAGAGATTTGTGCTTTGGCAAATACATGCATATTTATGTTATATTCATGATCTAAAAGTTTCATGAAGAAAGTCCACCCACAAGAAAAGTTATTGAACCATTAAGTTCCCATTGTAAGCAACCACTGCAGCCAATGCGTGTTTATGCATGCGTACGTATGACTGTGTGTGTGCGTGTATGTGTGCAGTTACTCGAAGGGTTCAGGGGATCTCAGTCGGGCAGTCTCGACTAGAGCTTTCTTAGTTGTTTGTTTCTTTTTTTTCCGGGTGGGGCGGGGCTGAAAGATAGTTTTGCTTGTTAAGGGGGGCGGCGTAACTAAGTACGTTACATCGGAGCTCAATGCATGTTACATTCATTATATACAAAAGTATATAGTTATATTGGTTTCTATCTATGTATATATACATATATATAAATCATCCACAATAAGAGGCTTATGAACTAAAATGCACTTGAATCGACGCTACAAAAACAAAATAAACTGGGGCATGATTGAGTCTTAGACAAAAGTTGTTGCATTGTCGCTGTTGCCATTGAGACGCAGGCGCGGCGACTGTTGCTGCTGTTGCTGCTGTTGCTGCTGCTGTTGCTGTTGCTGCTGCAGTTGTTGCTGCTGCGTTATCTCCTGGACCTGACTCTTCTCATAGTCGATGATGTGCTCGCGCAGCAGAAAGTTTTCGCGTTTGATGCGCTTCAGCAGGCGGGCCGAGACGTCGGGCACAGCCCAGCGCAAAATGCCCTGCAGCATGCTGATGATATTCTATAATGAAAAAAATAATACAGAAATAAAGCATATATAGTAACAAGTAAGAATTACAACAAAAAAATCGAAATTATATAAAATACATACAAGTCTACATTTAAAATTTGGAAGCTCTACCTCTAAAGGTTTAGGAGGTATAATTAAATAACTAGCTTTCGATAAGGGTTTTAATCGATAATAAAATATCGGAGATAATTATCGATATATAGAGAAAAACTTGAAATGAGCGTGATATACACGGACCTAAGAAAAAAAATTTCAAGTCTCTAGCTCTTATATCTTCTGAGATCGACGCGTTCATACATACGGACGGACGGACGGACAGACAGACGGACAGGGCCAAATCGACTTAGCTCGTCGCCCTGATCAAGAATATATACACTTTATGGGGTCTGCCTCGTCTCCTTCTGCCTGTTACATACTTTTAACAAAACCATTATACCCTGATTTCCCATTGAAAATGGGTTCAGGGTATCAAAACTAGATATACATATATGTATTTAGAGACAATCTCTCACTTGATAGATGACTATGAAGGCCAGGCGGGCCATCAGGATCTTCCAGTAGATCATGGGCCGCTTGTAGGGTGGGTCCACCCACGGATCGTTGCGGAACTCAATATAGTGGCAGAGCGTCACGTTGGCCGCATTGCTGGCATCCAGCAGCGATTGCGTCTTGTAGTCCTTGGTATAAAATGCAGCCAGCGTAAAGTTCAGATAGCCATCCAGCTCGGGATCATCGTGGGTGGCTTTGTAAACGAATTTCGGTATAAAATTCGTGCTAAATGCAATTATCATGGCCTGCAAGCATATATATATATATATATATATATATATAAATATAAATATTTAGTATGTGCATTCGGGAGTTTGTCGTTTAGTTCACTACTCACGCTCGAGGCGACCGAGATGTGTGTGACGACGGCCATAATGTTTTGCCAGACGCCAATGTTGCGAGCTCGCATGCCCACGGGACGCCGTACGAAGCGCAGCATTTTGATGGCATCCAGACGCACCTCAATCACGTTATTGATCAGCGCCAATAGCGGCGCCAAGGGAAATGCCAAGCTAAACAACGTGATGAAGCCATACTGCACCACTGCGCATAGATGCGAAAGGGAGAGACAGAGAGAGAGAGAGAGAGGGAGAGAGAGAGAGAGAGAGGGAGAGAGAGAAAGTGATTAGAGTCATTTGATTCGAGTTTCGAGTGTCGTATCTAGCCAATCCTACCCATCTCCAGATACTCCTCATACAATGAATTGCCCTCGGCTGGCAGCAAATTAAAGTCTTCGGTAAACTGATTGATAGACGGCACCTTCTTTTCGTTGTGGCGCTTGAGGAAATCGTAGCGTTGGCTCAGCTCATTGAAGACACGCATCAGAAATGGTATGAGCATCTCGATAACCGCATTCACCGCCTGCTTGCCCCCCATTATGATCACCAGCTGCATGCAGAGCTCCATGAGACAGCCGCCGGGATTGCATTCCTCCTGCCGGAAACTGAATATCCGATTGTATTTGGAGGGATAGCCAACGAATTTGCCCTTCAGAAATGCAATATAGAATAACGATGAATAGTAGTTAACGAACTGGAACACATAGTTCTTGATGGTGAGACTCTCGTCGTATTCGGTTTGTGTGCGACAATATTCGTAATTGGTTAGGCTAATCGCCAGCTTGCTGTAGACCAGATCCAGCACCGAGATCACAAGCAGATCGAGAAAACCGGCCGTTATTGGCAGCACCATGATCTTGTACGTCATTGAGTCCTCGTTGCCAATGATGGAGCTGGAGGCACGCTGGGCCATCCGATAAATGATGATGGCCGCCACGCCGATCAGTGATATGCATATCTGCCAACAAATCGAACGCATATACATACAGATATAGATAGATATGGACAATGGACAATGGGTAGTTCGGGAACATACAAACAACACCACGATGCTGTAGCTGGTAAAGTTGGGCAGAAACTTGAAGCTCCAGAAGGGCACATCCGGATCAAGCGGTGTGTCCTTGAGCTTCTTGGACTTGCGGAGTTTGGCCAGGTACTGGGGACGCGGATGCTCCACATGATGATTGAAACCGGTGAGGCCCCAGCGATGCACCAGACCCGCCGAGTAGCGCTTCCACAGCTCCAAGTAGGCCACCGCCCAGATGGACAACACAAAGGCGAACACCATCGTCATTTTGTTATCAATCAGATAGTTGAAACGCGAGGATGCGCACGTCTCGTTCAGATGCCAGAACTTGCAGCCACGATCGCACTGAGGGCACATGATCGTCTCGTTGCCTTTGCATATGTCATAGCTAATCGGATCACTGTTCCACGTCACGAAGCCGTAGAGAAAGAAGAGTATGCCCAGCACGCTAATCGGTATCAGCATCTGCGTATAGAAGCCCAGCCAGGCATAGTAGAGCGCCACCTTGGCCCCAAAGTAGTCCTTGATGTGATCCAGTGGCTGCATTCTGAGAGAGAGAGAAGGATTAATGAATGCCAAATCAAATCAAACCAAATCTATGCTTACTTCTTCCAATTACGTAGGCTCGCCCATTCCTTCAGCAGATCATCACGTTTGACCTTCTGAAATATATTAATCATTTAACAATATTAATCACCATATTTATTATATATACAGGCGACGCCAAAAGTATTTTGAAAACACAACTGTTAGGCAAATATGCTTATAGCTAGGAAAAAACAACATTTTAAGACTCTAGCTCTTATATCTTCAGAGATCGACGCGTTCTTACACACGGACGGACGGACAGACATGGCTAAATCGACTCAGCTCGTCGCTCTGATCAGGAATATATATACACTAGTCGGCATAATTATAACTATCTAACGGCTTTATTCAGAACACTTTATTTATCATACCCTGAACCCATTGAAATTGGGAAATCAGAGTATAATGGTTTTGTTGAAATATATATAACAGGCAAAAGGAGGCGTGGCGAACCCTACAAAGCATGTATATTCTTTATCAGGGCGACGAGCTGAGTCGATTTGGCCCTGTCCGTCTGTCCGTCCGTCTGTCCGTATGTATGAACGCGTCGATTTCAGAAGATATAAGAGCTAGAGACTTCAATTTTTTTTAAATGTCCGTAAATACAGCGCGGATATCGAGCTTATCACCAAAAATCGATAGCTCATTCCGTTATTTTTTATCGATAAAAACCCTAAAAAAACACCTAGGAAAAAAATTTAAAGCCTCGAGTCTTATATCTTCTGAGATCGACGCGTTCAAACATACGGACAGAGGGACAGAACTAAATCGACTCAGCGCGTCGCCCTGATCAAGAATATATATACTTTATGGCAAATTTTATCAGCGTTCATTATTCGATGCCCCCATGCATTCTTATCAGCAGAAAGAGGATGAAACATGTAAGATAGCTGTAGTCGATACTGCTCGACTACGGGATCCTCTGGCCCCTTCGAGCAGCTGATATCTTACTAATTCCTTTCCGTATTTCCGCTTACACACACATAAACACTTACAGACACATATAGGCACGCACGCATAAACACGCATAATTGTTTGATAACTTTTCTTGTGGATGTACTTTCTTCATGAAACTTTCAGATTGCGATTACAACATTAAAGTGCGTCTATGAGCCAAAGCACAACTCTTTAGTATTTGAAATTCTCCTTTTACAAACGTGTGGTGATGGGGTGGATATAGGAGTGAGGAGTGAATAATAGCAAAAATCGAAACAATAAAATTCATATAAATATACATAAAAAATTTGGCGACTTTGGCTTTAAAGATATTGGAGATATAATTAACTAGCTAACCGGGAAGAGTTATCGATTTTGGAGATAAACTCGATATCCGCGCTATATATACGGACATTTGAAAAAAATTCAAGAATATAGCTCTTATATCTTCTGAAATCGACGAATTCAGACATACGGACAGACAAACAGACGGACAGAGCCAAATCGACTCAGCTCGTCGCCCTGATCAACAATATATATAATTTGTGGGGTTTGCCACGCCTCCTTCTGGCTCTTACATACATTTCAACAATTCATTATACCCTGATTTCCATTTTCAATAGGTTCAGGGTATAAAAATGTAAATGGCATAGAGCTATTACGAGTATGAGATTCTTTCTTTGATTCTAATGTTCGCTATTTTATATAACGGTACTATGCAATGCCAACTTTAATAGTCACAAAACGATTTCTTCAAAATATTTATGCCTACTAGTGTACTTTTCACAAAGTCATTATAACCAGATTTCCCAGATTTTCTATGCTTTAGCTATAAACGAAGAACCGCTATATACTCGATTTCTTCAAAACAGAACGCAAAATAGAGTAAAAAATTGTTCCCAAATATATAATATAATATGTTATACCGTCGACTGTATATATACATAGATATATATAGATACGTATAAATAAATAAATAAATAAATAAATAAATAAATATATAGTAGATACATATACATATGTCCACCAGATTACTTACATTGTGCAGCGTATAGGCGCAGAGGTAGACCCCATCCTCGATGAGCTTCTCGATGCCCACACTCTTGGCCTTCTCGTCGCCCTTCTCGAAGTGCTGTCGCTGCATTATGAAATTGATGATCGAATACCGTGTGCTGTCATCAAAGTAGTTGGGATGCTCCTTATCATACAGCTCGAGGTATTTACGTGCGAATTCCATGTGGATGCGTTGGCTGCGCTCGGGAAACACCTCATTGTTTAGCTGCACCGAACTGAACAGTCTGCGGCACATGCGACTCCAGCAGGTCTTCAGTTCGCGCTGGCTCTCCGCGATGATTTGCTCCTGGCCCGGTATCACCTTCATTGGCATCTTGATCACCTTCATTGGCATCTTGATCTTTAGCACTTCCGCATACCGCTCCAGCACCGGCATCGGTGCATGCACTTTGGTGAAGTGCACCCATTGCTCTAGCACTAGGCCCTCGCGCTTTAGATTCTCCTCGAAGATTTCACGCTGCTCTTTGTCACTAACATCGCCGTTGTAGGCCAGAACAAAATCCACGCTGCGTCCATCCTTCAAGCTGCAATCCGTCTGTCAAGGGAGAGGTTCACATTATTATTATTATATATATATATATATATATCAGGGATCGGGTGTACACGAAATAAGGGCTTGTAGGTGCAATTGCCGCTTCAGAAAAAAAAAAAAAACTGATCAAGCATCAACTTCATACAGGATCATCTGGTGAAGTGTCCATTTCATAGCAGGAGTGGAACGGTTTGCATATATTCGTGCAAAACATGCTCAATAACTGAACCGATCTGGCCAAACATAAAAGTCTAACTAACTGCAGTCTGTCGTAATATTTCAATATCTGGAACCGGATATTTATAAATACGAAAGTCAGGAATACAACGCGTTAACTCTGTTCGGATCGCAGTTCTACATATCAATTATTCATGGAATTGCAAGCTGATAAAACTCGCAATGTGATTGGCTCCCTATAAACATATATGTTCTTTTATGGTTCCCTTTTTCTTATAATCAGTAAATATTAAAATTAAACAAATACCCCTTTTAAAGCAAGCTCAAAGTAAATACAGCTGTAATCGATCCTGAAAGCTAAGATGTTTGCCAAATATTACAGTGAGATATGATATGTACGTATAAATGTTGTGCGTATACTGAGTCATGCACATACATACACACATATACATGCACTAAGCCAACGCACGCATTGGAAAATATTCGGAAAATATGAAATCTTTTCAGACAACGCTCCTGACTCCTATGTTTGATCAAAACTGAGCTTAAACTTAACTTATGTACAATTTATATACTAAGGTATATTTGAATACGTATGTATATATGTATGTATGTACATATATTGTTATACATACATATATACATATTGAGGTATTTATGCTAAAAAATTGCCATTACCCATTCCCCGCAAGCAAACTATTGAAAAAAGAGAGAAAAAAAGAAAAGACAGAAAATGGTGAGAAACGTAGCCACAGCAAGTAAACAAAATAATGCGAATACAGTGTGAATTGATGCATATGTGATGCATGTACATAAATATGTATGTATCGATGTATGTATGTACGTATGCAGATGCTGTCAAAAACAGTTTTCTATTAGTTAAATGCATTTAAAGCCAAACGAACCACAGTGCGCAGCTAACCAGGAAACAGAGTGGAACGACTTGGAATTGGAATGGATGTGTGTGTGCTGCTGCCATGAAATGCTGAGAAATGAAACTTGTGCGAGCGTATGCAAACGATTAGCGTAGTGTGAGTGACAGAGAAAGAGAGCGAGAGCGAGAGAGCAATATACAATTGCAGCGTACATAACTAAAAAGGGATAGAGTGCACGCCATTGAGTAGCGCCTATTACTGTTATTAATGATATTTGTCTGTATGTATGTATGTATTGGCATATTGGCAAGAGTATTTGCATTGCTTGTGCTGCTTATTTAATCGTTGATCGTTTGTTGGTTTTTGTGTGTTGTTTGTTTTGGTTTTTAGTTTATTGTTGTTTACCCTCGATTTCCACTGGGAGTATGTAATTGGCAATTTCTTATCTCTATTAGAAACTGTGCTACTTTGCCTTAAAAGACGTCTAGAGACCTCATCATCACCGCTGCCCGCGCCAGCGCCAGCGCCCGTTCGGCTATAGCCATAGCCACCGGCGACGCCAATGCCGGTGGGCAGATGTGTGCGTCCGTTTTGCAATGCCAGCAGCTGGGCAGCAATGGCAGCGTCCGTATGGTCAACGCCAACGGCACCAGCACCAGCACCAGCACCGGCATCACCATTCAGATGCTCCAGCGCCGTCGACTGTCGATAGCCCGGCTGCCAGCCAGCGAGCCTCATGTGATCCGTAACGATGGCGCTGTTCCTCAAACTGTTGCGCGTCTCATCGCCGGCCAGATCCACCGCCGAGTGGTAAATGGTATTGCGGGACTGCGATAGCGACTTGCGATGTGCCGCCGCTGCCGCTGCCTCCGAATCGGCCAGCGAGATCGTATCAAAGTAAAGACTCTCTCGCTCATCCATTTCCGATTCGGGATAATAGTAGTCGGGATGGATCTACTGCAGATCTACTGAGAGTACACCCAAGGCGCATGGCTAACCCCAACCAACATTTGAAGATATACTAATGCTTTTAGATATATATATATACATGCATATATCGTTTTAAGGGTTAAAGGTGACCTTGTCATATATACAGAAAATTTATTCCTAATTATTCCAAACCGGTTCCGCTTTAATTTAGTATATGTATTATATATAGTATGTGTTATATTTTTGATAAGAGCATGCTCTTAATATAAATATTCTGTTTCACTTCATTATTTTGTCTCGGATTTGTCAAATTATTCTGAAGTATCCCTCGCCTTACTCGCTCATAACCATATACCACTTGCATTACTATACTATATGTATTTATATTATATTATTGATCAAATATTCTTTTCAATATAATCTGATTCACTTCTGCTATTGTCTCCCATTCGGTTCGGTTTCGACTTGAAATGGGAATTTTATTGCTCCCTCTCCCACTCCTTCTCCATTTCTCTTTCTCTCTCTCCCTCTCTCTCATTATGTGCATTATGCATTACTAGGTAAACTATTGACTTTATTGCATCTGGAATTCTAGTGTCCATAGGCTTATCTAAGTTACAAATGATATATGATGGCTGTTTAGGGCTCTACGCTCCTCCTCCTGCTCTTCATTGCCTCGGTGGCCAGCTTAGTTAGCCTTATTGCACAGATCGCCCAGGCAATCGCCCACGTAGTCCGGCATGTGGGCATGGCCCGCGGGCAGGCTGTCCACGTCCGCCTGGCTGCTGCCGCCGGTGAGCACCAGCAGCGTCTGGTAGCCGCTGGCGCGCGCGAAACCAATGTCACTGGCCAGACTGTCGCCGACGAAGAGCACGCGGTTGGGCGGGATGTGGGCGTGATGCTGGCGCAGCAGCTGACGCAGTGCCTCGCCCGGTTTGCCCAGCACCGTTGGTTGCCGGCCCGTCGACTGGGCGACAATGTCGATGAATGGTCCGGGTCCTAGAGCGAAACGGAATCCTTTAGTTACCCTAGGCCTAGCCACTGCTAAACCATTGCCTACCGATGATGTCGCCATTGCCGAAGGGTATCAGCGCATCCGCAGCGCCGGCCAGAAACAAACAGCTGGGATTCTGCAGCTGGACGTGGGCACGCATCAGCTTGGTCGCCGTCAGATTGAAATCGACATCGATGATGACCGCATCCACGGGCTCGCCGCCAAAGATGGCCTCGCGCAGCTCGGCCAGAGTCTTGATGACGGAGCCCTCGCGCTGGTCGGATGAGAACGAGCTGAATCCCTGTCAAGCACTCCGAGGCAAGGCAACTCACCTCCTGGCTCAGCCGAAAGCCAGCATCGCGCAGCAGCTGCTTGAAGGGCGGCGTCGCCAAGCAATATATCATCCCGCCGAAGCCAATGTCCTTCAGATGGTCACAAACGGCCTGCGCTGGATGCACAATCTGTTCCTGTGGGCCAAGACTTATAGAATAATCCTCTAATACCTGATCTCTGGACATACCTTCGCTACATGCACCTGCGCCTGCTCGGCAAACTTGTGCAGATGCTCCGCCACGAAGCTGATGCTGTTGTTGGTCACAAAGGTCAGCCGCTTCCCGCGACGCTGCAGCTCCGCCAGGGCTTGGGCCGAGCCGGGTATAAAGTCTCGCAGCGTATACCAGACGACACCTGCAAGCAAGCCCGAAACATTAAAAGGCCCTCGCTCCTTTGGAAAACTACACTCTTGGACTGTAGACCTCTTAAGCCTGCAGACTCTTAGCTCTTTTGGTCCTTTAGAAAGGGTCTAAAGGGATATTTGAGCCATTCAACTCTTTACCCTTACACCCTTAAATGTTTGAACCTTTAGACTATATTACTTTTAAGCTTTTTAGTCATTGGACCTTAGACCTTCAGAGCTTTGGGCCTTTAGACCCTGAGACCTTAAGTGCGAATTTGCGAATTTTGAACCTTGTACCCTCTCAGATTCTTATACCTTTTAACTATTCGGCCTTATGAACTTTGGACCTTTAAACCCTTCGACCTTTAAATTCTTAGTTGCTTAGACTCTTACAACTTTGGACCTTCAGACCTTTGGGCCCTTAAGCGTTAAGGGTTGTAGTACATCCGATTACGAGAGCTTTGGCCCTTATAGACCTTAATGTCCTTAGACATTTTAACCTTTCCTCCTTCAACCATTAGATTCTTAGATCTATTGACATCTAGACCCTTAGATCTTTAGATCTTTTAAACTCTAGATCCTTAGGCCTTGGGTTCTTTAGATTCTTAGAACTGTTGAGCTGTTGACCCTTTCACCTTCAACTTTGGGCTTTTAGACTCTTTGAGCAGCAGTACGAACGTAGGCCCACAGAGCTAAACTCTTTGGCTTTTTCTTTTCCATAAAAGCCCTAAGCTAGACCCCGACTAAACAGATAAAGTCGACATCTAAAGAGCAGCAGAAACTAGACTACTTTAATGTATTTTGATGGGATAAATGGACTGATATAATATCAGATGGGGTTTACTCTCAAGGGACCAGAATCCCCGTTAGTTATTGAACAGCCCTAGCTGTCTACGCTTTGAACAAACCATCGCAATCACAGAAAACGACATCGAATGAATCGAAAAACTTTTCACGTTCCGCTGCGCTGAGCTGCTTGAAAACTTTGGGCTGTCAACGATAATGAAAGAATTGTGAATAAAGAAAGGGGATTAGTCGATTTGCCATGAATCGAAGTTCTCTATGAGTGACGCACGCTGTGGCAATTTGGCTGAGCTGAGCGCCAAGACGTCGCGCCGACTTGGCACAGGCGACGCAGCATCCTAACTACTTACCGAACTGCAGCTCATTTTACATTCAGGGAAAAAATCACCCAAAAAAGAGAAGACGATGAAAGATA